TGGGTAGTTTTCAACTAGTCTTCCACTCTGTAAAAGACTAACTTTGCACCCTCATCCACTGAAATTTAAGAAATGTAAAATCTTTAGAATGCTGAACTGTAAAATAGAACAAAAACAAAATTTTTCCCCTGGAAAATTAATTTTTTTTCCTTCAAAAATCTTAATTAATAGCTTCTTTCACTAAGTTCTCAACTGTGATTAACTACTAACACGCCTTAGCTGGAAATAATGAACATAAATTTTCATATTTTTTTAATATGAGTTTTGCAATTTTTCCTGTTGCAACTTCTTATTTAATTTGTTCCCCTGAGATAGGCAATGCATTTCATTTTTCTGGTGCATCTATCTGTTGTTTTTATTTATATAGTTATTACAAAGATCTAAATAAATAAGTGGAAAGCTTAGTAGCAGAAGGAAACTTGCATAATCAAGCGTAATAATCAAGCGTACGTCTAATAATTAGAATAAGTAGACGTACTGCCACAGGCCAACTACTTAAGTCACTTCCGTAGAGTTAAGTTCTGTTGAATTTAATATATCGTCTTCAAATAAATAAATTTTATTAAAAACAAAAAGATATTTATACTGATGCCTAACCTAAGAAATTAAATTGGCCATAAATCACACAGACCACCAAATACTTCTCCTAAGTTTTCTACATCAATATTTGAAAAAAGTGTAATAAAGACAATAATATTAGAATTAAGGTACACAGACTAACTGCATCAAGCCAACTGAAGAGTTTAGTGGATGAAACAGGCAAGTGACATATTTAGGGGTATTTATTAATGAGGGAGAATAACAAAGTGAACGTATCAATATGGTTATGTTTAATGTATCAGAAAGGATTTTGTTTTTATTTAAATTTTGACAAAACTAATCCAGATTTGTTTTGAGTATGGTTGCTTGATTTTTATTTCAAATTATGTAGTGGTAAATAAAATAAGGCACAGAGAACTATTAGTCTGGCCTTTTAATAAATTTATAATAAAATAATACAGATACCACTTTTTTCTCTTTTTACCCTCCACTCTGAAAATGTCACTTACCTGCTTCATCCACTTACCTTTTATGATAAATGTGTGTAAAAATCTCACTGAATCTAAAACCTCCTGAATATTGTTTTGCGACAAAACCATCACGCATCGTTGCCAGTCTTATCTACTCAAAAGCTTTCGTGTAATTTTAGATCTCGACTTTTAACAATGATTGAGAAGTTCGACTTCCGCCCTTTATAGCGGCTTCTTCATTTATTATATTGCTTCATCTTCAACCAGCTTTTTTTTTTAATTTCCATATCTGATCGAGTAAGTGGTTTGTTTTGTGGGTTTAGGGTAACCCTGTGTCACAGGTGATAGAATGATGGGTAGACTCATGCAACAGGCATGACCTTGGATATTTCTTCGTGCGTCCGGAAGGTGGTATAATGACCGTGTATTGGTCATAGTCCATTTTCTAATTTACGTGACAGACATTGAGCTTGTTAGGGAATATGACGTCATGCGGTTTGATTTCAATATTTCGTGCTCTAATCCGAGCATTGTCTTATTCTTATTGAATTTTTTTTTTGTTATGCTATTTAAACAATTGAACTATATCAGTGGAGTTTTAGATTTCGAAAAGCAGTTTGAAAACTTAATTTCTCAATTTTCAATTATTAGTTATTAGTTTACATCGCACTAGAGCTGCACAATGGGCTACTAGTGACGGTCTGGGAAACATCCCTGAGGATGAGACGTAGACGTGCCTTCACAATTTTGATCCTCTGCACAGGAGATGGCTTCTCTGTTTCGGTTACTCGACATTCTCCTGCTCGACTTCACGGTAGAGCAGTTTAACGAGGACCGATACCGTACGCCCTCGGTCTCTTTGCAGGCTGATCAAAGTGATCCCCTTCAGACTGACCGCAACCAGAGATGTTGGACTTCGTTGTTCTACTGGGAATCATATCTTAACGATCAGCGGGACGAATTTTCAATTATTAATTCTGTGTAAATGTATGAATATTTAAAGAAAAATAGTTTTTATAGATAAAAAAATTCAAAACTTATTAATCTAGGCAAATGTTAGTATGTATTTAGATTAGAGAAGATATTTAAATGAGAGTACTACTCTGGCTCTGCCATTGCAAAAGCGGGATCTAAACATAATTTTTTGTTTTGGTTTTTTGCTAAATGTTTGACACAATTAAATAAATTTTAAATAGATGCAAGAGTTGAATGACTAATGGGATAGAGGTACTAGATGGCATTTTTGTGAATTTGTGCTTTAAAATTTGTACATTGGGAATGGGAAATAAAGCTGTCTTGATTTCATTTCATATCTGAAAGCTTCCAGGTTACAAAATCTATAATTTATAACACTCATTTGAACTGTTTGCGTCAAGGTGTTCTCTCTCTTAACATTCTAAAGGTGCGCCAAAAGATAGGTTGTTGTCTAATGTATATGGAATATTCCTCCCCTCTGAAAACCCAACAAGATTTTAGATTACATCAAATAAATATTCTCCAATTAGGTAATATTATCCTAGCAGCAAAGTAACTTGCGCTCTCATTGGACCAATATTCACGAATCTTGGCTCAATAAAGGATTCAAAGGGCCATACGTTTTCCGATTTTGGCCTTTCATAGAATTGTCAGATTCAACCGGTGTTTCATATTCATTATTCAGCCAATGTAGGCCCTATATTGATCTATATATGCTATTCTAAAACCAATATTAAAAGATCTAGACACACCAATATTGGTCCTTCGGTGCAATGTTCTTATAAGATCCATATTGAGTCAATTTTGTAGGTAGTCCGATCAGACCACTATGAAGATAAACCAATTAGTGAAAGAACCATTTAATATGAAATCTATTAAAAATTTGAAAGTGGTAGCAAATATATGTCTAAAAATTTGCTTAATTTATGAATATAATTGGTTTGTTTTATTTACTTGTCAACCACTACAGATTCTATTCTCAAATACATGTGATAAATTTCTCTCAAGTACATTTAAAATAGAATTTGGGTTCATGCGCACAAGTGGGTCGCTTTTTAAATAATCTGCGCAGACTACTTATAAGAAACCGTGTGGAGGCTTTCTGATGTAGGAGGTGATGACTGAGCCAAGGTAAAATTGTTGCTAGAGAATTATTTTCATCAAAATTTTTTTTAAATAATTTTTTTAAGTAACTAATGTTACGGAATGTTAATTTGTTTAAGTAACTAATGTTAAGGAACTAAAATGACAATGGTCATTTTAGTTCCTTAACAAACTTCAAGTGGGAAACATGAAATTGGTTAATGAAATTGTTCACATGATTACATTTGTATTCTCGAAAAAATAACTAAAATGTTTTGAATTGAAATAAAAAATAAACTTAGCTTTTATAAATTGATATAAGACAAAAAAAATATATCGCCGTAACATTTCCACGTATTTTTATCATTATTATTTTTTAATTCCAATTTTATTTTAAGTTTTATGTTGAAATCGACTACTAACTTTTTATTCGATACAAATCATAAAAAGAGAATTCCAATTATGAAGTCCATTTGAGCGGCGCCATTTCGGAAATAAAGTGATACCTAAGAAGAACATTTATGAAAACTTTCATTAGTGGTCGAAAAATGTTCGAGCGTTCCCAAACGATTAAAAATAAAGAGCAAACGTATATCTGAAGAACCAATTAATGGCAATGATTCGAAAACACTCTTTCAAATTGTCACCGGCTGCAATTAAAATGGGAAGGCGCCAAACGATACTTCGTCATTCTCGCCTGCCTCTAATGATCCTGACTCCGTTGCTCTTGCTACTCTACCCCATCATTCGAAGGATGAGGATGTAGAAATCACAGCATCCCCTCGAATTTTCTTCCTTCCCCCCAATTACTGATGCTGGCAGCCGTTTTGCGTGACGACTTTTCACGCTAGAAACGTGACGATGGGTTCGATATCTTTTTTGCTAATTAGCTGTTTCGTGCTATTTTAGCTATGATTTTACCCGCATTTTGGTAATTGCTTCTAGGAGATGGTTAGAAAAAAGAAACTATAGGAGATAGGAAAAATAAAAGGCTAATAAATTTTTTTCTCCTTCTCTGATTGCAAACTATAGGCTGATAAAAAGAAATAATTCTAAAGAGTATTTAATAGAAAAGAAATTCGTAAATCAAATTACATCAAAATAACAAATATTTATATCAGATCATCAAGAACAAATCATTTTAAAATTCAAAAATTAATATATATATATACACCTGCTAACTTATAATCCTTTCGAAGATGATCTTCCCCAGTGATAGTAAAATAGAATTTAAATTACAATTTTAGGGAGAAACACACACTGTATTTTGAATATGCTTGTACAAACTGCTGACAGAATTACATACTTATATATTTTTTTAAAAATAGTGGTGGGCAAATAATTAATGTTATCCCGGGATGCACCGCTCATTCTACAGCCTTGGGTAGGCCAGGCGTTCACCACAATTTTGTGACCAACTGCATAAATGTGACAGTGTGGTGAGCAAGGCGCACATAGCTGTCTTTACTCCCAGGCAAGCTGGTACTCATTGATCTGAAGCTTCGCGTCACCTCTGGGGATTGACCATCACTACAGCAGCTCAGTGCTTTTAGCCATCTCAGTGCCTGAGCCATCGCAGCGCAATATTATATGATATTTAAATTGCATATTACTTTATAATTTAATACTATAAAATATTACATTGCACTATTTTCTATTTAAATTTTTAAAAACTCAAGTTATTTCGACTGTATTGCACAAGCCTTGAATATAGCAAAGCTTTAATGAAAGTAATTTTAAACATACTATAGCACGAGTAAAATGTTATTTTTTATTATTATTTTTATTTATTTATTATTATAATTTTTTTTTTTTTTTTAGTATAAGTTTTTTGCAATGCATAATCTAAAGAAGATGGGGAAAAAATCTTTGCTATATATATTTATTTGTTTATAATTGTTAAATATATATATATTTTTTTTTTCATTTCAGATAACGCAACTAAAAATCGACAATAACCCTTTTGCTAAAGGATTTAGAGATACGGGGGCTGGCAAAAGGGAGAAAAAGTAAGTGATATATAATTTTTTGTTTAATGTTTTAACAAAAATGTTGAAAAGAAAGTGTTTAGAATAAAGGAATTTTGTATTGATTAAGGAAAGAAGTAGTAGAAATAATGTCGTAATTTATAAACATAGTTTTATTAACATTGAAATCTATTTATTAAATAAAACAGGTAATAAATTCAAACATTTTCATAAGTTACCAACACAACTATTGAAATATTAATTCGCGTCTATTTTGACCGACAATGCAATGTTTCAAACACTACTATTAAAATTTTGATTGAATCGAAGGATTTTTTGAAATATGTTTAATTATTCTATCTTATTTAATGTTAATTTTAGTATAAAACTAGTACAGTACTAGGGAGCCTCCAGTATAATACTTTCAGCTCCATGACGTCAACTTTTTTGAGTCCTTTGGACTTTTATTTGTTTCACTGCCGTTACCCAAAACTTTGGCTGACTACGCCATCTATTGCATTCTTTTTGGACTTTTTAAAACATCGTGTAAAAGATGAAAAAGCGTATTCGAGTATCTTCGCCCCTCTCTCCTTTATTGCTTTTTTATTTTTCAGTTTTTAATGAAAATGATTGAGTCACTTTTTTTTCTAATCTATGTTAGTAAAAAAGATAAATATTTTTTCTTTAAGATAAGCATAAATAAGATAATGATAAATATTTTATATTATAGAGAATCTTGCAAGGATAAATATTTTCTCTAAAGTTTAATTTTATTTTGTAGGAAACATTTTGGTTAATTGCATTTTTTTTTAATATTAATATTTTTCTTTTTGTTTTATTTTATGGCTTTATTAATTTCTTTCAAAATTATTCTACGGTTTTATTGAATATAGCGTCCAACATAGTTATAGTTATTAACTTCTATGAAACCGTTTTTTCAGTGTTAAGCATATTTTATAACAATTATGCGCTTTTATCAAATTTTAGTTACAGAAACCTTTTTGTCGATTTAATTATATTTACCAAGCCATTTCTAGTCACTGTTATGATATTTTAACACATATAATAATGTTTTTTTAAATTTATATGAATTATTAATGCAGAATAACACGATTAATTTTTAGGAAGTTATTTTGAGTATTTTATTTAATAATTTATATTTTTAAGAAACGTAGGGGAAAAAACATCCAATTCATTTATTTGTTTTTAATTTATTTGTTAATTTAAGAAAATATTTATTAGAGAATTTATTATTAATAATTTAGAAAATAATTTGGAATAATAGAATAATTTAGAGAAAATTAAATTCTAATTTGCATTCCATCGTACTTGTATGGGGGAAAATATCAGTTATTAAAATATTTATACAAATATCACTTTTCAAAATTAAAATTCGTCGACCCATTTACAAAATGAATTATGGTTCAATATCAATTATTTTATTTTAAACTATTCTAAATTGGAATTCATAGAATATAATCGAAAAATCTTAAATATCCCCACCTTCTTCTTCCTCAAACAAAATGCAACAAAACACCGCCCAGGTCCTCTTGAACCTTCCCTATTTCAACAGAACTTTGAGGACACTCAAATCCTCGGCCGATCCTAGGATCGCGCCGCTTGCACAAGTTCAGAATAGGTGCTGGTGTTGACAAAGCTCTTATCCATTCGGTAGTTCAAAGCAGAAAAAGCAAACAAAAGTAAGGATCTTTAAGGATTTCCATTAAGTGGCTATTTCAACCATTGGCGTCTATTTTGACCGACAATGCGCCAAAGAAGTTAATTAAAGTTAACCTAACTGTCAGGATTTGTACTTTTTGATGTTCAGTCTGTATTTAACTTTACTCAGTCTTTTGAAAAGAAAATCGTTTTCCTGGCGTCGGAAGTAATACAACATGAATATTTAGTTAAAAGCATTTAGAAATAGAAGATTACTTTTTATACAAAGGTACGGTTTTATTTAGTAAATAGAGGATTTGCTTTGATTTTTGAAAAATACGAAACAATGGAGCATAAAGTAAACTGAGAAATATGAGACTAAAATCGTATTTCCCGATTTGAAAATAGTGCTCTTTTCAATTGAAACGGATGTATCATATTAAAAGCTGAATATAAATGTGCTTCTCATTTTTTAATCAGTAATGCTTTAAATATTAGAGATTATGTCCTAAATAAATCTGTGAATTTTTTTTTTTGTTTGTTTAGTTGTAATGCAGAAACATATATCTTAGTATTTTATTTCATTTATCAAACGTAAAAAAAAAAGAAGATTAAAATGTAAGGTAATATTTATTTTACTAATAATTTATTAGTATTCTCAATGTATAAAATATTTTTTTTGATATTTCCAAATGAAACAAAGTTTAAAACTCGATGAAAATTTAAAATTTTTTTTTAAAAGTTGAAATAGTCTGATTTTTCACACTTTCAAAAACACTCCTTTATTTATCATCATGTTTTACAGAGCCTAAAAACAATTGATCTAAAAGAAAATTCAAAGTAATTTAATCAGAAAATTAAAAGTAATTTAAACAAATAATTCATAAGAAATTGAATTAAAATAGTGTAACAAAAATGTAACATTTAGAAATAAAACTAGATATAACAGTATAAAAAAAAATTTATGTTTTAAAATAAATTCGAATTCATTTATTATATTTAAAAATTACGGTTCTGCACGTAATTACAGTTCTGAACGTAAAAAGTCGCATTTTAACCTGCAGTCTTCTCTGCATAGCAAAACCGATTTTTCCATGTTAATAGATAGTTGAATAGTGTAAAGGGGAGAAACATTCTCACAAATTTACCCATTTGCTTAACCGCCAGTGGGTTAAAGTCGAGTCAACAATTTTATGTTAAATGACCATAATGTAACAAGTAGCTTTTAACTTTTCAACTTATTTTAATTAATATTACTTGCCGTTAATTAATCGAAAGCATGTTCTATTATTGATCAGCAAAAACACTTTTCTCCAAACCCCATTAATTATTTGTGTATTTTTAAACATCAGCATTAATTTAGTTTACATGTTTTGTGTCCATGTTCTGTACATATGTGTTATTGGATGTGCGGTTAGTGTTGTGTGTAGCGGGTGTCGTTGTCTTGATGAGTGTGATTTGTGTCCGACTTTTTAGTAACGTGACCATCCCGTTCTCCAGGCGACAGGCCCTTCTTCTCAATCAACAGCCTCACCATTCATCCGGGGGTCAGCATCTTCCCTCTTCCACATCCTCTTCTGGAGCCCACCATGGTGACCCTGGAGATGACTCCAGCGACGATGATGAAAAAGTGGATGTTGGTGGAACAGCCGATCTTCAAGCATCTGTAGCATCTCTGAATTGTGGGAAAGATGGTCAGTAATTTTTTGGTACCTATTTTCTTTCTTAATTTCTTCTTTCAAACAGCATGTTAGAAAGAAAAGAGTGCCATTGAATTATAATTTGAAGTGGGATTTTGCATTAACCAAAAAATTCCATACCATTTTCTTTTTAATAAAAATACTCGTCACATAAAAATAACACCCACTTAGCTGTACACTATGTTACTAAACAAGTCACACAAATTCCTATGTATTTTTTAAAATTAATTCATTAATTAATTTATAAATTTATTAAATCTAATTACTTAAACTAATTATTTTTTAAGCTAAATTTTATTAAAAATAATTATTTTTAAAATCCAGTTTTGAAAACAATTGAATGTCAAGAAAACTAATTTTTAGAGTGAAATCTATTTATAATTGCGAATAACGATCTGAAAATGAAGTTTTGGAAGTGACCATAGATCAAGAAAAATATTTTTGGTTTCAACCAAAGATCTGTAAATCTATTCCGGATTGTGACTAACAAACTAAAAATCTAGTATTAGAAGCTTTGAAAACCATTAAAAATCTAGAAATCTATTTTTTAGAGTGATCAAAGATTTAGAAATATGTTCATGATCGCGAATAACGACATGAAAATCAAGTTTCAGAAGTAATCTAAGACCAAGAAAATTATTCTTGTTTGCGACCGAAGATCTAGAAATCTATTCCGGATAGTGTAAGACGAACTTAAAATCTAGTATTAGAAGTTTTAGAAATTGATTTTTTTAGAGTAACCAAAAATTTTGAAATATATTCGTGATTACGAATAACGATCTGAAAATTAAGTTTTAGAAGTGATCTAAGACCAAGAAAATTATTCTTTTTTGCGATTTGCGACCAAAGATCTAAAAATCTATTTTGGATTGTGTTTAACGAACTAAAAATCTAGTCTTAGAAGTGATCAAAGATCTAGAAACTGATTCTTTTTTGCGACCAAAGATCTAAAATCTATTTAAAATTTCCAGCAATAATCTAGAAATACAAATAATGCAAACATATATTTAAATTGATGTTACATAGTTGATTTAGGCCTTTTCGCCATTCGTTTTAATAATCAATCGAATGAAAACAATGAATAAAAAACTTTAAAAAAATAAGTTTTAAATTTTTTTCTATTTTATTGCATTTAGATGACTTTTTATGGAGTAATTTATGAATTCTAGTAAATTTTGTCAGAGTTTGTTGGAAAATGTCTTGATTTTAAAGCCTAATTGCCTTTTTATAGAGTAATTTATAAATTCTGGCAAAGTTTGTCACAGTTTGTTGGAAAATGTCTTGATTTTAAAACCTAATTTGCGATAGTGATCCTTAAAGCATAGTTTCAAAATCGGATTTTCTGTGCAATTTTTCCTCATTATCAATAGCATGGAAGCCCAGGGTGGATCTAGGCTTTTCAGAGCTTAAAAAAATTTAACAGTAGTCTATATATATTTTGAAAGTTGATTTTTTTTTCGGATATTTTTTTTTTGCGTAAGTTTAAATAATTTGTCACTGCCATCTTTATATGTTAAATAAATAAATAAACGAAGGTGGTATAAAAAAAAACAAACTAGTAACAATTTCGATAAGTATTAAAATTTGCATAATCATTAATTGAATGAAAACAATAAAAAAAGAATGGAACAAATAAGCGAAGTCGAATGCTCGTATTTAAAAAAAACGCGCTCTCTATTTCTTCAATAGACTTGTCTAAAAACTTTATGAGCCTTACCAAAACGAAAATGACAAGCATTCACTAAATTAATTGACAGCTTTCATATATAATCACGAACTTATGAACTTAGTCTTAAACAAAAAACAATAAAAAAAAATTTTTTTTCTTCAGTACGCTACAAGATATCTTCTAATTCCAAGTATTATCATTTATCTTTTTCTTCATTCATATCCGCTTACCAGACCGCATCTTTTTCATTCAGATTAAGCTTCTTTTTTTCTTTCAAAGTCCTTTAGAATTATTTCATTTGAATTCTTTTCTGCTATAGCCTAAATGGTTTTATAGATGAACAGATATCTTTAAGTCTTTTAATTGAGTTTCCTCTTTTCGCTCGTAATGGGAACTGTAGCACCGACAATTGTAATAATGTAATAAAAAAGAATGCACCCAAAGAACTGAATAGGAAAATTAAAATGTCCCTTCTAGTCATTGATGTTCGCCGCATGCTATAATCCTTTGGCGACGAATATTAATTAAAATGCGCCTATTCTTGGCGGATGATTTTTTTTCCTCTGGCGACAAATGACTCGCATTTTTAAAGCCATTGTTTTAATTCTTTTATGTAATACGTTGTAATCACTCGTGTGAACATAATTGGGGCTCATTTAAACTTTAAGGTAATTGCCTAGAGATACGTGGCACAGACTTGTTCTTGGAGATTTCTTCTTGAAGTTGGCTTCGTTCGTATTCTGATTTGGAAATTTTACTGCAATCACTTAATTTCATAACTTTCACAGGGAACCAGATAATTGGTCGAAAAGGTTATTTAGGCATAGGTTTATATAAGTTCTGCCCTATGTAATTTTTCTAGGATGACGGGCATTGTAAAATGATAGTTGGCACGATTTCATTTCGGAAATTTTATCTTTTAGCTGTATCTTTTAGTTGGTTAAAAATTATTTACAGCCTAAATATGCGGCTGAATTATTGTGTTCATGAACGTTGGGATCAGTAAGAGGTAAAATAATGATAAATCTCTCAGAAACATCATTATTACTAATGCAATTTTGTATAATTGTAATACACAGTTAGTTTTTCACAAAATTTCTGTTGAAAACAAACTGCACATGGAAGTCAGGGAATAATAATTTATTTATGTAATTATCATGTTAAACATTAGACATGACTTCATGCATGAGCAATAGTTATGAATTCAAATTATAAAAAGTATGTAAAAATGAATATTAATGTATTGACTCCTTATGGAATATTGATGCCATATTGATGTATAGGAATATGTGTTTCATTATTCAGAGCTATATAAAATTCATATTCTGATTATTAAAAGATCTCAGTGGCTGCTATAGCCAATAGATTGATCGCAGATAAATATTCTACATTGATGAACAAATGTACTAATTTTTTTTTTAACCGCACCTGAGTGATGGATTTAAGAAAAATCTAAATCAAATCATTAACCACGTTTATTGAAATTTTAATCAGTGTTTGAACTGGCAAATTCCTTATTTTGATTCCTTATTCCTTATTATAACTTTCCTGGTTCCTTTATTTTGTAAAAAATATATGATAATTAGAAAATAATTCATTAAGTTAAGAAAGAAGTTGATCTCATATATACTCAACATATACTCGTATCAAATAGTTTGGTTTATAGCGCAAGATGTTAATTTTAGATTTGTGAACGTATTTAATCATTGAAAAAAATTCAATGAAGGATCATTATGCAGATATTTCATAAAAAAATATCATTTGTCGCAAAATATTATGTAAGAATTTTCACAAATTGCGCATTGTAACAGTCACAAATGAAGAAAGTTGAGTTTTAAATTCATACCATGACTTTACTCTTTCTTACTAAAGACTTAATTTTCATAATACTACTTTTGACAAATGCTTCTTATATTTTATACATACATTTTCGAGAATTTAAAATTTCCTTCCAATGCTTAGATATGCGCAATTGTTAATGCCCATGCTTCTAAATGATTTCGATAGCGTAAGTGGTTAAAAATTAATAAAGGTATCAATTTATTTATTGCATATTAGGAAGTTCGAAATATAACAAAAGGTTTAGTAATTCTTGCTACAAAAAAACTAGGTGATCAAATAACAGGAAATATTTTATACTGTAATTTTAAACTATGAATAAAAAAATAATATGAACTATTTTTTATCAAAATGTGTTTAATAAGTTTGTTTTAATTATTTTTTACATATAGCCAATGTGCTTCTATTTATTAAGCAATAAATGAATTTTCGGAGAAAAAAAATACTTTTTTTTAAAACTACCACAGTAGCATGTACTCTTATTAGCTATGTATGGTAACAATGTAGCAATGCATTGTTGAAGCATAGTTAATAATGTAGTAAAAAAAGCTATGCATTGTGACAGTTGACTTATTAGTTAACGAGTACATAATGTAAATTATAACTGATTAACTTTCAAGATATATTAGACATTAATAATTATTTCATTTCCCAGTAGACGAAATCAATATAAAATAAGATTTCACAAAAAAGAAGGATAAAAAGACGTAAGAGAAAGACAAAAAAAGAAAATTTAATGGGATTCCAACGGAAGTCATTACATTTTTACCACTCCAGATATTCTGTGCTGAAAACCTAGAAAAACAACAAAAACGAGAATTACTTTGTAAAAATGATAACACGATAAAAATGATCATTCGTAAAGTGATAGTCTAAAATGAGATTAAAAAAAAAGCACTTTTTCGAACGATTCTTAATTCCCAATGACATGGAACAAGACCCGTTCGAAATCGCTGCTGTCCCAATAAAATGACTAGGCGTGGCACTCAACCCAGCAGTAATTCTTCTCTTTTTGTTTTATCCTACAAACGACATTTATAGAGATCTTCTGGACATCCATTTTTCAAAAGCCCTGTCAATGAGCTAGAGATATATGATAGACATTGTACCTTTTTATTACAGCCAATAGCACTACAGGCAGATTTTTTTTTTAATCTCCCATCTTCATCGAGTTTTTTTAGTTTTTTTCAGTTGGGTACGAATAAAGCAAGAGTTCGTGTGAGCCAGTTGTGCGATTTATTAGATTCTTGATCTTTTTGTAGTGGTTGTGCAGAAGCGGTTTAAATGGATTCTGCTGCGCCGCCTCTCCAATTGGCGAAACGTGGGTTTTGTTTTATGCATCCTTTTAGGAAATTACAAGCTTAAACTATGTCACCTTTCATTGGAGCAAATATATAGATTTGTATATAGATTTAACTGTTACTTCTTTTTTTTGCGCTGGTGGAGTTGATATTATTATTTCATACTTGCTTCATAAATTTTGCAGCTAAACCTACAAAACATCATGGCATCACCGTTATTGATTTATAGCTAATGTATAAATTTCAGTTAGAAAGGGTGTGTTTGTTAAAAGTAAATTTATTTCTTAAAATTCTACATTTCAACATAAAAGGAAACCAAAATATGCTTTAATTCTAGATTCGTATAGTAAATTTAGCAAGGAAACAATATACAACATGCCAATAAAATGAATATTTATTTAGAAGATGTGAAAAAATATGAATAAAGAACAAAATACGAGTCAAATTTATTTGTAGGATACCTTTGCTGGGTGCACAACGAATATAAAATGTTAACACTATTAAAGAATTGCATTTAATTGAACGCTTTCTTTTTTGCTGAAAAAAATATTGTTGATCAAATCAAATTTTCGCGTTTACAAATTACTTAAAAAAATTTTTTTTAAAAAAAGACATGCTTCTACGAATCACTCATACAGGCCGAACATTTGGTCAAAAAACTCTTAACTGTGTATTCAGAGCATGCTTCATTGAAAGTTTCTTATTACTCATTGTAGTTAAAATACTTTTGTAATCTAAAACTTAAACTCATAAATTCTTATCCTGTTCTTGCAATGAACCATTACATGTTTTCAAACATAAAAAAATGAGCGCTTTCAAAATGTTATTCAACATATTTTCACAATAAGCTATTGCAATACTAGTTTAAAAATATTACGAATCGTGAATTCTTAGAACTAGTCTTATGCATACTACTAATAACATTTGCTAATAAACTATTTAAACTCGATATTCTTCTTATAGATACGCATTCAAGAGATGAAAGAAGAGAGAACGGATGCTCCAAGGAAGACAGTTGTGAGGATAGCTTAGACAAACCTATATCATCCATAAACTCAGCGGATCATAACGGTTCTTCAAGAGATTACAAAAACGATACCCTTGATGGACTGTCTAAGGCTGTACAACCAAACGTAACTGTTGGACCTGCAATGCCACATCCTCATCTTTTACCTTACCTTTACCCTCCTGCCTTGTACTCGTCTGGCATGGGCCACTTACCTCTCTCTCAGCTCTTTCTTCCAGGAGTCACTTGTGCATCTGGACCCAACCAGCCTTTACCTCTTTCCCTCTTCACTTCAGCTGGCCATCCATCACCAGCTTTTTCAGCCTCTCATCTAGCTCAGAGCTCACTAAATCCATCCTCCCAAGCTGGAGGGCCACTGTCTGGGATGGGACACAACCTCTTGCTGAATGCTCAACTTGCCTTCGCTGCTGGTCATTCCATGTTTCATGGCTATCCACCTGCGCATGGCTTAGATTCGCCACTGTCTAATGCTGGAAATGGAGGACTTTTAACTACTGCTGGATCAGTTGCTGGAAAAGTAAAACCTCACAGGTTTTCCCCCTATCCCTTGCCATTGACGACTATGACGAGTACAACTCCATCGACACCCCTTACAGTTCCGACTGAAGTTGTCAGGTCACCACTGTCAACATCTCCTTACGATGGTTCAGTAAATAACCACCCACCTCATCTAAATCACAATTCTATAAATAAACTCGGTGCTGTATCACCCCACGGTTCAGAGTGTGGCAGCTCTGATGGTTCTGTCGGACCTTCTTCTGTATCATCATCGAGTGACTTAAAAAACATTGAGAACATGGTGAATGGACTGGAAAGGCAGCAGGAGCAATTGGCCGCAGAGACATTGACAAGGCTGACAGAAAAATAAAACTGACCCCCACTACCCCTTCGAAAAAAAGAGGTAAAACATTGCCAATACAGGCATCCTGCTGAAAATAGTCAAAACTCATCAAAGTCCCAACGATTTGGTTATTTAACATTTGGCCAGTGTACCAAAGCGGGCAAAGAAGGGACTTTTACGATAAACTTGAAGCAATGAGGAAATGCGTAGAAGTCTGCTTCATGTAGCCAGTGATATTCAACTTTGTACAAAATAAAAATCATGACTGTGTACCCCTTTTCCTATCTGTACAGCAATAGAACTCTGCTTCCAAAACCAAAGAAAACTACAGAGATGTATTGGACACCAGAACACTGGAAAAGGGTCCTGCTCGAAGAGATTGCGCTTTAAAAGAGCACATTTGTTAAAGTTTTTTTTACAGATTAAAAAAAGCATATGCTCCGAATTGGTTGTGTCTAATACAGAAAGAAAAAAAAACATGTGTTAAGATGCTTTTGAAGGAAAAAATAGAAGCAGAGATATGACAGTCTGCGTTCAAATTGCTATAATTTAAATAATTTTTGCAGTATTACTTGCTTTAGAATTGCAATTTTTATATGTGTACAACCATATACAACGTAAAATGAATGCTATTTTATTTATATTGAAAAAAAGAACTTAGATTAAAATAATTGTTTCACCCATTAAACAAAAGATCTTTTAGAATGACCTATGGACGAAACAAAGTCCTTAAAATCAGTTACTAGAGCCTGAAGGTTACCCCACACAAGGGTTACTACTGATTCATTTCAGTCTTGTTTAACCATGTTTTGGACAAAGTCAGAGAATATTGAAATTTAATTTCACAATAATTCATTAATTTTGTTATTACAGTGAAGCAATATCAAAATAAGCAATATTTATATGAACACGAACTCAACTAACCACATTGGGACCTTTAAAATAATTTATTTTATCATAATACAGTTTATTTATCAAAACATATCTGTTGAAGTTTGTAAAATGGACAAAAAGATGTATATCATACATTCATTTAGAATTTTGTTATATTCGAAATGGTGCATAATATTTAGTTTCGATGATGCTAAAGTCAAACATTACACCTTATCTAAAAGAAATAATAATAACTAAACGAAAAACATTTTCCTTTACAAGGTTTAAATTTAATTCCTTATATTTTTAATGAAGTTTCATTTAATTCAAATTCATCTAAATCTTGTTATTATTAATTGTATAAATCTATTTTTTTAAAGAAATTCCTTTGTTAACTAAGATAAGACATTACATCTTGCCTGAAAAAAAAATCAAACTAAATATTCCAGTTTATAAAATTTTAAATTATGTTTATAATGAAGATTCGTCTAATTTAAATTCATCTAAATGTCATTATTAAATTTTTTTAATCTAATTTCTCGTTCAATACCTTTCTATTACTTTTAAAATCTCTTCTATGTTTAGGCAGTATCATTTGGATTAAAAAATGTATAAATTTAATGTATTTAATTCTCTAATTTTTATTTAAAATTTCCGTTTCTGAACTGAATGATGTTGAATCATAGTTTTGATTCTTTAAATCGTAATGCGTTACAAATTTTCCGCAATCTTAATACAGTGATGTTGAACCATATTTTCGTTCAAGATGATGAGCCATTGCATCGTATTATTATGTTTAGGAAATACGATAACAAGGTTCAGCACACCCTATTAAGGTTGGCGTAAATTGAAACGATATTAAGGTACCAAGATTTCTAAAATCCTTAACATACTTTATGAAGAGTATATTTAAGTGATCATTAATCTATAAATTTCTTTCAAGTTCAATTGGAGAATATTTGTTCAAAACCCCAGAAATATACGACAAATACTTTATTTGCAAAATTATAATCCACTGTTTTGAAAGAGAAAAAAAAAATATTTATAAAATTTCGTTTCATTGAGTCAACAAAATGAAAGAAATGTATGAAAACATCTTGAATGAAAATTGTATAAATGAAAATAAAATTTATTGTATTTATTCAAATTCTGTACTATAGTAATAGTTGTATATGTTGTAAGGTTACTTTTGTGGTGTTATAATAAAAAATATTATGTGCTATGTAATTTATTTGTTCTTCTTATTATATTAAGACATTCATAAAAAGAGATTCCGAACGTCTATTTTTTGACAGTTTTTTTTTAAGTGAATAATTGTAACCATAATTGAATAGCTTAGTTGAAGACGGTCTTAAGTGACAATTATGTTTATTTGGGAATTATCAATAAAATATTAATTTTTTTATCTTGCGCCAGGCAATAACAAAGTTGCCAAAAAATGCCAAAGTTGTCATGTATAAGTTATGGAAAAAAATCCTTTGCAGCTTGTCAGATCAATGGAAGTAAATATGCATCAAAAAGAAAAGAGCAAAAACTGATAAAAGAAAATAATTCGCTTTAACTTGTATTTGGGAAGAGAAAACTATCCATAACAATCCCGGGTTTTTTTTTTTAAACAGTTATAACACGTATACACGGTAAAATAATAATAATAATAAATAATAAAAGAAAAATAAGGAAAGTAAACTCAATTTTTACGAAATTTTCTTCGTTTTTTACGAATCCGCTTCCTGGTATATGCTCTGAGTGAACATTTCGTCAAAGGGGAGAAATAACTATCGTTACTTCTTCGAAGAAACGAATTTCGTCAATAGTAAAAAAAATAATATTTTGTCATTCTATTTTTATCCAAAAAAAAACAAAAAAATTTAAATAAATAATAAATAATAATAATAATAATTTAAATAAATAAAAAAAGGGGGGGCTGGAATAAAACTTGAAGTTCCTAATGTATACAACTTTCTAATAATCACTTTATTGAGAACATCATATAGCTGGGTCATTGTCACCGTAATAGCACAAGAAAGACAAACAGAACAATTAGATAAATTACAATTAGATAAATTACAACCATGCCCGAAGTGGAATTCGAGCCCGGGATCTTCCTGGAATGAGGGCATCTCCCTGACCACCAAACAGTCCAGTCGGCTAATTTCGTCACTTTATTTTCGATTGTGGATGGTTGATCGTGTAAAGTTCAGCACAGATGGCGCTTGGAGTTAAAATTAGTCGTAAGACTTCCGGGTTACTACTTCCGATAAGCTTGTAAAAACACGACATCCAATATAATACTTGCGGTGTATATACTTGTAGTATTTTCAATATAACGCGTTCTTTCAATTCAACTTTCAACGAAACAAACAACAAATGAATTCGGAAGACTTTGCAAGCTTGCTAGTATATGATGCTACACAAAAAATAACAAACTTTAATCAAATATAGCCAAATAAGGAATAACAACTCAAATCATGGCAAATCTTACACTTCATTAATGCTGTGATGTTAATTTCCTTCAATTTGCTTTACGTTCTGTTAGAAATTATGAATTACAGAAAACTCTTATGAACGGAAAAACAACGCTTAAATTTAAACACAGTAATTAAACTTCTTAGAACATTAAGCCTGTTCACACATCTTCTCGTAAGCATAACAACAGCGGAGGGATACACCGGAAGTTTTTTTAAAAATTTTTTCAGGTTTTAGGAAGATTCGTATTGTTTACATTCAGTCAGCCATTCATAGTCTTCATCCTTATTTCGTCATTCTGGTTAATAATGTCCCACAATGCACTAAAATGAGTTTTCGAGTTGAGGAAATATTTTCGTCTCTCGTCATTTCTCGTTTCGTCACAAATCACGTGATTTTGTAACGAAATAATTCTCAAAATTAACGAATTAACGAAAAAAGTTAAGGAAAGGTTCTCCAAATTAACGAAAGAATTCTCAAGATTAATGAAAAATTCTCAAATTAAAGAATTAACAAAAAAAAAAATTAACGAAATATTCTCAAAATTAACGAAAGCTCAAGGATTACTGAATCGCCAAGAGTGAGAATTTTATTTCTGTGAGAGTATAATGTTTCTTCCTCCCCGAGAAAAATTAAATACTGATCATTAATGTATGATCGAAAATTTAGAGTGAACTTATTTTACTCCCCCAGAAAACCAGCAATGAATAAAATGGTTTTACTATAAGTGTTTTATCTTTTTTCTGTCTTTCTTTCTGGACTACGCCAGAGTGAAAAAATTAACGCAATTGTATAAAAGATGAAAGTTCATGGGGTAAAAAAAGTTCATGGGGTTCACCTAATTGGAAGAAGAACGCTCTACCCCTAAGCCATCGCGGCTCTATATAAATTATACTTCTTTCTTTGGCAGCTTCCAAGTATCGGATTCGTAGTTCAGACGGGAAAAAACGCAAAATTGAAGGGAGAACAACTTTATAATTTTTAATCTACAGATTGGATCTTCACGTACGAGCTTAGTTATTCAAAAGACTAACTAAAATAGTTCAGTTGATTTGTCTAAACAATATTTTAAGTTACGAGACCAAACACAAAAACGTACTTTCTCTAAATAAACATGTATTTTTCAGACGGATTCCTGCCCCTCAAAATGTGGCAGAAAATCAGCCAAAAACTGTCTTAATAATATATATTTCAGTTTTTCACACTAAATAGCATATTAAAAAAAAAGTCTATTTCTGAATTTTTGTTTCTCAACGAACGACTCCGTAATTTAAGTTTTTTTTCACTGAAAATTATGTAATCAGAAACTATGTAAGAATTTTTACACTTCTACTTCAAAAAATTTGGGACATTATAAAAATAGAAAAAAGGATAATTGTAGAAAATGGAATTTATTTTTTACGTCTAATTATCTTTGGATAAACGATTTTCATAGTTGAAAGCAAAAATTATTTAATTATTCTAAATAACTGTGGTGATATGAGGATATACACAAAAAGTGAAATTAATATGATCACTTTCAATCGCCCACTTGCCTCTTACGCCTTCCTTCTATCTTGAGGGTTAGGAGTTCAAATCCATCGAGGAAAAAAAAAGAATGGCTTATTTATAGAAAGCCCATTTTACGTCTGATTTCGTAACTTGAAATATCATTTGCACTAATTATTTATCATATTCAAGGGTAGTCTCGAATCATTAAGATTTCATCTTATTTCTTAAAAACGGATAATTACATTGAAAAAAAAATATCTATGCGTTCTCTTTTTCATTTTGCTCACAAAAAATAAGGAAACTTCAACTAAAAAATGTTGTTCAGGTAAAAAAGAGAATGAACAACATTTCCCAGAAATTCGACTAATTTATAACTCCTATTACAGATAACGAAGAGGAAAAAAAGGAAGCATTCTCTAAAGCCCGACCTCCTGTAGACTTATAATTCAACAGTATTTTCTAAAAGGAATCTTTTCTTATCTCCTCATCTTCTTTAGGGTGGCCGGGGTCCTCAGAAGTCCCCTTATAGAACAATGTTCGGCTCGTCTCAAAAGACACCTCTCACAGGTTGAAGACAGGTGGCATGGGTCCTGACGACCCACATTGTTTCACGACTTTGGGGATTGAAACAGCAGGTCAGCAGGGCCTTTTCTAAAAGATCTCGCTGTCTTAATTGGACATCTTCTTTGTTTGAAAGGAGAGCAACTTGTGAGAGAAAGTTGAATAAATTTAATGTTTTTTCTGATTGGGTCGTTTAGATAAGCTTTGTCTTAGTTTGAAATAAAGACATCTTCTAGACAAGATAGAATTCAGCAAAGATTTGAGTCTTATGGTGTAATTATTTTCTTTTCAAAACTTAAGTTGTACATTCATTCGAGATGGTTGGAGGTAATTTTTTGAAGAAAAAAAATGTATGTAACATTAATTAAATATAATTAATATGTTTATAATAACTTAATTCTAGTAGACATTCTCAAGCCATGATATAATTCAGTACAGATTTGAATCTTATGGCGTAGTTATTTTGTTTTCCAAACGTAAGTTGTAGATTCAATCGAGAATGTTAGAGGTAGTTTTTTGGAGAAAAAAATGTATGTAACATTAATTAAATGTAATTAATATGTTTTTAATAAAATTCTAGTAGACATTCTCAAGCCATGGTATAATTCAGTACAGATTTGAATCTTATGGCGTAGTTATTTTGTTTTCCCAACGTAAGTTGTAGATTCAATTGAGAATGTTAGAGGTAGTTTTTTGGAGAAAAAAATGTATGTAGCATTAATTAAATACAATTGATATGTTTATAATAACTTAATTCTAGTAGACATTCTCAAGACATGATATAATTCAACACAAATTTGAGTCTTACGGCTTAGTTATTTTCTTTTTAAAACTTAAATTGTAGATGTATTCGAGATGGTTGGAGGCAGCTTTTTGGAGAGAAAAAAATATGTGACATGAATTGAATGTAATTAAAATGCTTTTAATAACTTAATTCTAGTAGACATTCTCAAGATAAGATAGAATTCAGAACGGATTTGAGTCTCTGGTTTAATTATTGCACAGTTATTATTTTCCCAAGCATGGGTCACACATTCACTCGGTGTGAGTAATCGTAGTTTTGAGAAAATGAATATCAATGTTTATCAATGTTAATATCAATGTTAATACATTTTTATCAAACTAATTTGCTCAAAACATTCTCGGAACAATACAGTTTATTTTTGGAAAACATTCTCTAGACAATGTAATTTAATTCAGCAAGACATTCCCTAGACAATATAATCTAATTTTGCAAGACATTCTCTAGACAAAATAATTTAACTCTGCAAGATATTCTCTAGTCAAGATAAAACTCAAAACATATTTAAGTCTTTTAGTGTTAATCACACTTTTTTTTAAGCTTTGGTCAAACCTTCATTCGAGTTAAGGCGAAGTTTAAACTACTATAAATTTAAGTTACATCTTTTAATAAAAATATAATTGCAGTTAAAATAATTAAAATGTGTTTTGAGTAACATAACTATACTAAAAATAAAGGCGTATTTATATCACCAACGGAAATTTCACACATTGAGGCACATAAAATAGTTTTCTTTCATCTTCTTTTCTTTTTCTTTAAAAAAGTAGAGAAAAATAATTATATAAAATATTTAATTCAATAAATCACTAAACTTTCACTCATTGATCTCCATATATGACATCATTGGAGCGTACATTTCACATGCTGTGATACATAATTACTGTAATATCATTCATAAATATTGCAT